ATGCCGGGCATCTTGTAGTCACTGAGTTGCTGCCGAAATGGCCTTGGACAGAACCCTCAAGAGCCCCACCAACCGATAATCGCCTTCAGGTCTTGCCAGGGAGATAGCTACCTGCTACTTTCAGGCCTTGGGACTGGTGGCTGGCAATCAATCCCCAAGTCGACAGAGAACCCCCAGTGAGTTCCAGAATAGGGTTGTGCAAACTCTTGGCGAATGAGAGGCAGTCACCTTCCGCTGCTCAATCCTGTCTCTGACCCGGTTCTGGCAGAAGGACTCCGGGTCAGGAACACGTGTCCTCCCGGCATCTCTCGGTATTTAATTTTCTCACCGTCTTTCTCAAGTCCCTAGTGAGATGACTTGTACAACAATCTGTCTGTGCCTTATGAAAGTGTCTGTGCACTTTTAATCCTTTTTGAAAGCAACTTTAAAAAGTGGGCCGGGGACTAGCATACGTGGTAGTGTTCTAGAAATCTGTGCTCATCACTGAAACCCTTCTGCATTGTGTATTTGATGTTGGAGTGAAGACGTGTACGGTCCCCCGCCCCAGCCCACTACCTGTGTACAGACCTTTTTAAAAATGTCTCTTTTTCTGATTCAATACTGTGACCTCTCCAATACAGTCTAATCTTTGGAGATCTGTAATAAAGGTTTCAAAACCTGGGGGGAATGGGTGGGGAAGGGTTTGCACTGGTCCTGTGTGTTGTGCTCTTGCGTGTTGTGTGTTTTGATTTTTGTCTGTTTTTATCCGTTTTATATTAACATAATTTTCCTGTCTAAAAAAACAAATACAACTTTGGCTTGTTAAGAAAGTCTCTTCAGGACTCAGTTTTCAAAATCACAGTTGCCTACACAGTTGGGGAGTGGAGGTGAGGGATTCAAATCATTGCCAGCCTTGAGGAGACAATTTGCAAAATGTCTATAGAACCCTGAGAATATTCAAACCTTTTGCCAAGTAACTCCTGAGAAAATATCCCCAGGAAATAATTCTTGTTGAGGATAAGCTCTATATGTAAAGATGTTCATTGCAGCATTATTTATAAAGATGAAAAACTAGAAGCAAGCCTGATGACCAACAACCAGTGTTTATAGTTGTC